CTTCATCTGCACCGTGGTCTCCCGGGGGCTGAGAGTGGGCGCCTTCCCCTACCAGCCCCTCCTTCATCTGCACCGTGGTCTCCCGGGGGCTGAGAAAAGCCACTCTCGGCACGAGGAGGAGAAACCCCGGGCTCGGCGGGGGCAGGCCGGGCCCCACACAGGGAGCAGCTGGAGCAGCCCCAGCCTGAGAGCGGGCTCCGCGCCCCATCCTGGGCGGGAAGGAGGCTTCCGGGCTCGCGGAGCCGGAGGCTGCAGAGACCGTGGTCTCCCTGCCGCTCTACCGCTCCGGCATGTTCTTAAAACCCCACGTGTCAAGTTCCGGCCTTACCAAGTCACGTACAAACATTCACAAAACCCAGCGTTTCACTGGAGCAGAACCTTCCAGGAACATGTGCGGGACGTTCGCTCGGGGGACCTGGGCTGCTCCTTTACCACCTTCTGGGCTAGAAACTTCAAACGCACTTTGTCAGAGCCTCACCGCCCACCTCCGGGGTGGTCACTGGACTCCCCCGGAGCCAGGGAGGCCAAGGGGGCGTCAGCGTGGGCCTGGCCAGGGGCCTGCCGCCCCCACACTCGGAACCGCACCCGCCGCTGCCGATTCCCGCAAGCTGTCGCCGAAATGACGGCTGTAACCGTAGGTAAGAACACTGTTTCTTGGAAGATGCCAGGTTAGAATGCGCTTGGGCTTCTGCTTGGAAAATCACTCTGAAAAGCTAACAGGCCCCAGGGCCCCCTGGACCCCAGGAGGAGGCCCCGGCCATGGGCCAGGCACCCAGCGTCTGCGCCGGACGCCCCAGTGAGCCGCAGTGACCACTGATACGCTTCTTTAGAAAAGGGCTTTTCTCCCATAAATGGAATGAGAACAAAAAATACTCTTCTCTAAGACGTAATAAATCTTTGATGAAAAAAAAATGACCTCCACCGAGATCAGGATTCACGCTTCCAAATCCCAGCCCCGGGGCTAGGGAGAGGACGGAGGCTGGAGGCTCAGGGCATAACTGGCGGCCGCGGTAACACGGGCAGCATCGTCCCACGCACAAGCCCACAGCCTCGTGTCCCGTCTTAGCAACTCAGAATCAGATGACGGAAGAGTTGCACGGTTGCCTTGGTAACCCAAGGGATTTAAGACTCCAACAAAAGTACACAGGCGAAATCACTTGTTGGATTCTAAAAACACCTTCTGCTCGACAAGCGCATTTAAAACATCCAACCCACAGGCCTAAGGAGCGCACTGTTTCCTAAACCTCGGTCGGCTCTCAGAAAGGCCTCCACACGTCACCTGCAGGTAGGTGACTTACGGGCCGCACAGGGAGGCGTCCTGGGACCGGACCGCGAACCCTGCAGCACATCTGTGAGCGTCAGAACGTTTCCCAGAAAGCCCTGTCACCCACCGGGGACGGCTGCTCGTCACGTTTTGGTAGGCGCTGTTGGGAGATTCCAAACAGTTACAAGCAGGAAGGCCACGGTCCTCCCTGCAGACCCTGAGCCGCTCCGCGTGGACGGCCGGCGGGGAAACGAGCAACTCTGGCAGCTCAGAAACGCAACGTCCTTCTGATTTGGTCCCTCAAACTCCAATAGTTCGCAGGGGTGGGGGACCCAGGGGACATCTGGCAATGTCTGGAGTCCTTTTTCATTGTCACCTTGGGGGGTGGGGGAGGTGCTGTAGCATCTCGTGGGGGGAGGCCAGGGCGCTGCCAACACCCCGAAGTGCCCAGGGGGGCCCAGCCCTGGTCGAGACACCCCAAGTTGCACCAACGCTTACTTGACACCCAGAGTCTGGCCCTGCAGGAACATACGGCACAGTCGGGATGAGCAAGAAAAGCTACGGCTGGCGCGGGGAACAGCGGTTCCGCAGGTGGGGGAGGGGGGCGGGGATGTATCGTTTCACGGATACAGAGTTTCCGTTTGGGACAATGAGAAAGTTCTGGAAGCAGGCGGTAGGTGGGCGCAGGACAGCCTGAATGCAGTCACACACCCTGTTAACATACCACATTTTGGCCACCGAGGGACTGAATGTGGGAAGGTGGCCCCACGAGATTATAACTGAGCTGAAAACTCCTATCGCCTAATGACGTCGTAGCTGTCCTAAGTCCTAGCACAATTTCTAAAATAAATTCAGCGCAGCCTAGCGCACAGTGTCCGTAAAGTCCACGGCGGCGCAGGTGACGTCCGAGGCCTTCACGCTCAGTCTCCACTCACGGATCTGCCAGAGCAGCTCCAGGCACGGCCAGTGCTCTCCGCAGGGCACCGTTTTTCACATTTCTTGTCTTTTTTTTTTTTTGAGCGACAGGGTCTCGCTACATCACCCAGGCTGGTCTCGAACTCCTGAGCTCAGGTGATCCTCCCGCCTCCGCCTGCAGAGTAGCTGGGATTACAGGCAGGAGCCGCTGCCTTTTCTAAGTTTAGATGTGTTTAGATACAAAAATACTCACTGTGTGTTTTGATGTGTTCAGACACACAACGCCCCTGTGCTGCAGCTGCCTGCGGCACTCAGCGCCCACACGCTGGCCAGGTGTGCAGCCTAGAGCGGGAGGCTGCGCCGCGGGCCCAGGTGTGCGGCAGGTGCGCTAAGCTGGCGTGAGCGCACTCGCCTGTTCACACGGCGACAGAATGGCCTGACGACGCCTTTCTCGGAACGTGTCCCTGCCGTCGAGGAACGGCTGCGTTTGCTGCAGCGAACCGCACACCGACATGGTCAGAGTGGCGAAGTTCACGTCACGTAGGTTCCGCCACGATGACGAAAGCTGCGGCACACTGGGCTGGGCCTGCTGTCCGGCGTGGAGCTCTGGGGCTCCCTTCCTGCCCACTCGCCCCCAGCTTGACGACCCCCCGCTGAGGAGAGGAGGCCCCCCCCCTGCACCCAGCACACGGCACGTTCGGGACTGTGACACTTCCCAGGGCTGTGACGTCGCGGTTTGCTGTCTCCGGTGCCCTGCTCACTCCCGCGCCCCCAGGCTGATTCCTGCCCCACAGCTGGAGCCCAGTGTCAGCTCACAGGCACCGTCTGCGGGGACTCCAGATAGCCTTCCCTGACCCGGGACACAGCCTGGCGTCTGGGACAAAGTCCGCACTGTGCTGCCGGCAGGGGGAGATGCGAGCCCGTCCCCACGCGAGCTGCGATTATTGCTGCCCGCTGAGCACAGAATAGGCCTGGTACTCAGTGGACGTCTGATTGATTATTCGCCAGTCTGGGAGACAGACACAAAACTGTCACTCACGTCGCGAGGATCACCTTCGACAAAGCTGAGCTCAGAGCCCCTCGAAACTAATACCGTGAATTCCACGGGGGCCCAAGAAGAGACCCCCACATGGCGCAGCGACATTCGCGGCGATGAGAAAAAAGCTCCTGTCTGTTCGTCTGAACCTACACTTATTAGCAAACACGACACGCGCACCATCCCCCCCCCGCTGCGAGAGGCTGCTTTGCAGGAGAGCTTCCTCCGACAGTTACGTCTGTCCTCCCACATCCCGTGCGTCCCCCACCTCTGCCGACGGCCACCCCAGGTCAAGGCAGGCTGAGGTTCCAAGGACAAAACACATTCATGTGACGTTTCACAGCAACAGCCAGAACGAGTCTGTGTGGCGGGAGTCGTGCTCCCGGCGTGTCCCCACGTGCAAGGGAAAGCAGCCCCCGTGTGCCAACCTCAGCCCTGCCCAGGGGCGACGCGGCTCCCCCAGGTGTCACCCCACCCTGCCCCAGCCAGGTCCTCTCCAGCTCACGGGAGCCCTCAGGAGGCTCTGTGTGCAGGTGACACCAGTGCTGTGCTGACGGGGACAGACACGCGGGGGCTCCTACGGGGCCTGGAGCCGCCCAGGCCGGGGGGACACGTTGGTGGCACTCCCTGGGGTCACACCGATTTACTGTGGGAGGAGGGGACCACAGGAGGCCACCAGCGTGGGCCTGCAAATGCACCGCTCTGTCCACAGAGTGAACCGCCGTGAGGCCACCGGCACACGTGCACGGGGGCGGCTGCGCCTGCCTGTAACAAACAAAGGGCTTACTTGAGTCTCGGCTGCCGAAGGGCCACCCCGACGCTGGCAGGAAGGGGCAGCCCGGGGAGCTGGCCCGGCTGTCGTCCTCCACCTGCTGCGTGATGTGCCGGACGGTCTCTTTGTTCTTCCGGTTCTTCCTGCGGCCCGTGGGCTGCCAGCCGTCCCCGGCACCCTGCTCCGAGAAGGAGTTCTGCATCGCACCGTCCTTGGCGGAAGGCAGCTCGCTGCCCCCATACGGAGACGGCGAGATCTGCTCTTCCTTGATGCGCAAAGGCCCAAAGCCCGCCTCTCCCGGCCACAGCGACTGCGAAGAGACGTCGTCGGGGCCGTCGGCCTTGGGCTCTTGGTCCTCCTTCCCGTAGCTGCTGCCCCCTTCGTGGCAGCTGGCGATGGCCGAGTCTCCGGAGGAGTTGGCGGGACTCGTTCGCCGAGCCAGCCACGGGGAGATGCTCCTTCCGGCCATCACGGCGGAGATCAGCGCCTCGGTGCTGCTGCCGGACGGGGCCCCCATCTCGAACTCCGCGAGCTCGTCGCAGGCGTCGGACTTGATGCTGATGTCCAGCGCGGCCTTGATGAAGTCGTGGCACGCCTGCACGATGTCCGTCATCTGCAGGAAGCTGGCGGCGGACATCACCTCGATGACGTTCCTGCTGGTGAGGGCCAGGTGGGCGGAGTACATGAAGTCGATGATGGCCTTGAAGCCCTGGGCCGTGACGATGTCCAGGTGGGTGACGGTGGCCTGGTCGGACGTCTTCTGCACCTGGCAGTAGAGCGTCTTGAAGTAGCGGCTGCTCCCGAGCAGGACGTTCTTGTGCGCCTTGAAGACCTTGCCCTCCACCACCACGCAGACGTCGCACAGGACGCCGTGCTGCCTCTGCTCGTTGAGCTCGCGGAGCAGGTGCCGGTAGTGGGACGCGATTTCCATATCTTCCTTTCGGTTGTTCATCGGGAAGTCGTGGTGCTGCCTCTTCTACGGCCTCTGTGGGGCGAGAACGCAAGAGTTACCCGCAGCTCAGCACAGGCAGGCAAAGTCGGGCAGAGCGAGGGCAGGGCCGCGCAGCCGCCACGGGGGACAGGCGGGCGGCGGGGAGAGGCGCGGCCGCGGGAGCCCACCCGCACGCCCTGGGCACAGGTGCGCGGAGGCGGTGCCTGGGCCTTCGCCTGCGGCAGCGCGGCACAGCCCCGGGAGGGCGCGGAAGTGCGTCCCTGAGGAGGGACACCCGCAGCAAGTTTCCCGGCTGCGGCTACACCCCGCCATGAACGGACTTGGGGTTCCGAGTGGGACCCTGCACACCAGCCGCCCGCACACCCAGAAGCAGTGGAAACACACCAGTGGTGGGAGTGACTTCCCCCAGTAACACGAGTCGGGGCCTGCATCCTTCTCACTTGGGGAGACGCCCCTTAAAAGGAGTGTTTGTGTAGCTTCCCGCACAAAACCCGCGGGAGCAGGAAGGACGCGGTGCACACGCTCACAGCCTTACCCCTAAAACTTCCCAAAATCCTGAGCTCAAACCGGCTCGAAGCTCCCAGAGGGAGGCGATTCTGGCCGGGCCGCTGCCCACCCGGGGGCGGCGCGAGACCAGCTCAGCCCCGAGGGGTCTCGGTGCCCGTGGGACGTGCGAGGAGCAGAGAGAAGCTCCCGGCGACTCCCTCAGCACGGGACAGCCCAGTCCACAGAACCGGAGAGACCCGCACTCGCCCCGGCCTGGCGGCCTCTCCCTCGACTCAGGGGTCCCATTTTGCTTCTCACTCTGCTCTCGCCGCTGCCGCGGCCGCTTCCTGGGGCTGCCGTAGCGAAGCGCCACAGACTCGGCGGCTCCAACAACAGAAACTTGTTCTCCCTCGGTTCTGGACGGCAGAGGTCCGAGGCCGAGACAGCAGAGAGCCAAGGCAGGTGCTGTCCCCGGCCCTCGCCGGCGTCCGGGGGCCACCGCAGCCCTTCGCACCGCGTGGAGGCGCCGCCCCCGTCTCTGCCTCCGTCTTCAGTCCGCGCTCTCCCGCCTGCGTCTGCGTCCAGACTTCCCGCGTACGAGGACGGGGACGGCAGTGACACCGGGATCCAGGCCCAGCCCAGTGACCTCATCTTGACCAACCGCATCTGCAATGACCCTGCTTCCAAATAAGGCCACATTCTGAGGTTCTGGGGGTTGGACCTTCAGCAGATGAATTCTCGGGGGACACGGGCGCCCCACAGCACGAGGAAGACGAAGCTGCCAGGTCGCCCCGGCACAAACCCCACTTTTCCAGCTACGCAAGTAGCGCCGCTCACCTGAGATGCCAGAGAGTGTTTAACAGAAGAAAATTAACCTGGTCCTATGTAGGAATGTGCAAGCCCTTCCCCCACGGAGCCGCGCCGGGCACAGGCCGGGAGGGAAGCCGGGAACCCGGATTTTACTTCCTACACGTGTTGGACTTGTCACCACACGTGTGCCTGCAGTGATTACGAGGTATTTCCGAACATCCCCTGAAATCACCTTCACAAGGCCCTTGCGAGAAAAGTCACTGCGTTTCGTTAAACAAGCTGGGAAAACGAGGCAGAAAGGAGTAAAAGGCTTTCATTCCCTTCCTCCCCCCAGACCGCCAGGTTCCCAACCCCGGGCCCCCCCAGATGGGGACGGTCCCCAGCCTCCCTGCAGCCCTCGGTGCTGGCTCCGGGGTCCGGCCTTCCCTCTGCTGCCTCCTACGGGGGCAGGATGAGCGTGGCGGCCGACCAATCACGTCACGCCCGGCCCCAAGACCCCGAGGACATCACACTAGCCAGTCCCTTCGCCGAGGCCGGGGGCCTCCTGCAGCCAAGCCCCTCCCTGCCCACCCCAGCCCCCGAATGCAGGCCGGGGCAAAGCCTGCCTCTGCCTCGCGCCAGCCTCGCTGTGCAGGCGAGAACCTGCCGGCCAACGGGCCACCGGAGAGGAAAAAACGAATGATGCTCAGAAAGGCCACAGCAGGGTCACGTGCTCACAGACCACACCAGCGTGGCCCCTGGGGAGCCCCACGGGGCGGGGCAGCGGGACGGCACCAGGCGCTTCCACCCAGGGGTGGCTTCACTCTTCACACCCGTCCCCGCGGCACGCAGGCGAAGCAGACACAAAGGAAGGGACCAAAACGTGCTTCAAATCGAGGAGAATGATCGTTTAAACGCGGAGCCTGGAGTCCCCGAGTGACGCCCGATTACTGCTCGTGCCAGGAACGCCCAGCGCTCCGGGCACCCTGCACTCAAACCGGGAAGTGGCAGGGTCACTGTTTGGTTCCTATACGCATAAGAAACCTTGTTGTTTGCCAGGAAAACAGATCCTTTCAGAATGAGGGAGAACGATGAAAGGAATGAAAAACACCAGCGATATTTTATAGAAGCAGCGACTACCTCACAGGACTCAACTTTCTAAATAAATTTAACTTAGAAGTTCTGAAGTAAATTACTTTTCAATCAGGGCAGCTCATTATCAGTTACGCGCAGCAACTGCCTGTGGTCCCAGCCCCTCGGGAGGCTGAGGCGGGAGGATCGTGTGGGCCCAGGAGTCTGAGGCTGCAGTGCGCTGTGATCGCACCTAAGAAAGCCGCTGCACTCTAGCCTGGGCAGCACAGCCAGACCCCATCTCTTAAAAAAAAAAATCAGTTGTGTACTCACAGAAGCTTTGTAGTGAAAAAATAAAATAAAATTTTCATTTGGGGGAAAAAGTAAGCTGCATCCTAAAAAGAAAAAAGCGATAATCTTTAAAAGAGATGGGTGTGCTGTGGAAATGAGCGTCAAGGATATACACGATCTCTCCGAGCTCAGGGACGTTTCAGAGAATTTACGTTTCAAACCTGACCGTCTCTCAGAACCAGAAAGACGTTTGCATCAACCTCTCTGCAGCAGAAGGCTGGCCGGCCGCCCCATGGACGCTGGTGCCGGTTGCTTTTTGGCAGCTGCGACCCAAACATGGAAGCCCATGGGCAGCATGGCCAGTCCCACGGTCTGACGTCCCGACAGGCAGGAGGCAGACTTGAGGCTGAGCACGCTCACAACCTCCCCTTGCGGGAGGCACCTGCCCTGCCCGAGTGCACCGTCTCATGGACACACAGCTGCCCAGGACACACGCCTGCGCCCGGACAACCCCGCCCTCATCTCTGAGTTACCTGCGCTTCTGGGCTCGAGGTGAGGGGGCGGCCCCTGCAGAGACGAGCCCCAGTTCACCAAGGGACCCAGACGCCAAATCACAGTAAGACGGGGTCCCGCGGGCCGGGGAGACCCGGGGGGCAGGGGGGATTCTGCCGCCACACTGGCACCAGCCTGCCCGAAAGTCACACAAGCACCATCGCGAAGTGACGCCAGCTCTGTTGTTTTCTCCAAACGCACTTCCGGCTTCTCTGCAGCTTCCCTGCGCCCGCTTTACTTACTGCACTCACTAATCTCAGGACACTTCAGCTGCAAACAGAATCGCTTGTGAAACAGGCGTCCGCAGACCACTCTGGCTACCAAAACCACTCGAATCCACGTTCCAGAACCAAACTCCTGAGGTCACGTCACCCGGGACAGTGCTGGGGGCACAAGGACTCCAGAGCGGCTCCGCCTCAGCCGCGGGTAACCAGGTGCACAGAGCGGGAAACATCCAGATCGCCAGGCGCCCTGTCTGGCCAGCAGCGTGACCGATGCCCTGTGCTTTTCCGTGCCTTTTCAAATCCCAACAGCCGTCCCCAGCTGCAGGCTAAGGAAACTGATGGCCTCAAAACTAGGGCATCTGGGCCGGGCGCGGCGACTCCCACCTGTGATCCCAGCACTCTGGGAGGATCGCTTGAAGTCAGGAGTTCGAGACCAGCCTGAGCAAGATCGAGACCTCACTTTTACGAAAAATAGAGAAATTAGCCAGGTGTGGTGGCACCTGTAGTCCCAGCTACTCGGGAGGCTGAGGCAGGAGGATCGCTTGAGCCCAGGAGTTGGAGGTTGCTGTGAGCTGTGATGACACCACTGCACCCCAGCCCAGCTGACAGAGCAAGACTCTGTCTCAAAAAAAACAAAAACAAAAGAGCTGGTGCATCTGGAGCCGGTTCCGATGGCCAGTGTGCACGTCTGGCTCCGAAGCCCAGGTGGCCCTTGTGGACGGACAGGGCACCCTCAGCCAACCCTGCTCAGCCCAGCGATCCAGGTTGTGCTGCCCACGTCGCCGACAGAATAAACCACCTGCAAACCCGAAGCGCCAACATCTGGCTCCCTGCCCCTCCCCTCCAGATGGGCTGTCACGTCAGGTGACAGTCAAGGGAAGAGGAATAAGTTGTCTCTATCAAACCAGCCACGTCGACGGCACCACACCCTGGCGGCTGGATCACTGGGGTAACCGTGGAAGCAACGGCGCGCGTCCGGAGAGCTTTCTCCCGCCAGTGCCCGAAGGGACAGGGGTATCAATCACGAACCTATTTTAAAAATTACGAACAGAAGCTGCACCGCTGAAGACCTGCACTCGCTACTCACTCCAGCTCTTCCGTGCAGCTCTTAATGCTTCATGGGTAAAGTCCACATAAACCACCACATCTGAAAACACACAAGAACCGTGAAATCTGAAGGCTGCTATGAATATATTTCATTTGCTACCCTGTGTGTTCAAAGCATTAATTTAGGGAGCAGGATGGGGTTATTTTGTCCCGTGGTCCCTAAGGAGCTCTACCGGGAAGGCTATTTGCTTTCATAAAAATGCGAAATCGTGGGTGTAATTCAGACCTTGCGTCTGCCGCATCCGAACACCGTCAGTCTGTGCGGCCCGGAGCCCTGCGCAAACTGATCACACTGAGGCCTCACCTCACTCCTGTACCTCCGACTCAAAGGTTAGGCTTAAACATTTCATTTATAATTTTGCTTAAAAAGTAATGTAACAATGCAGTCCCTGACCCTGGGCCCCGGTACCGGTCCGTGGCCTGTTAGGGAAACAGGGCCACGTGTCACCACCGAGCTCCGCCTCCCCTTTCCCCCGCCCCCCGCCATGTCCCCTCCCCATGGAACCAGTCCCTGGTGCCAAAAATGTTGGGACCACTGATCTAACAGACAAACCAGTATTTTAAAGTGGTTTAGCTTTAGAACCAAACCGTCTGAACCTGGTCGCCACGGCCAGGAGGGCTCCGGGGAGAAGAGAGGTGGCCACGGGTGTCTGCACAGCCCAAGTTTAACTTGACTCTAAAAACCGCTCTAAAAACCGCTCTTCGTAATTATTTTGGTGAAATTTTTTAATGGGCAAACATGTCGAACAGACACATCACAGCACACCGATGGCTCACCAGGGACAGCTGCCCAAGGTCAGCAAAGGAAAGCCGTGAGGAGACGCCACTGCACTCCCACGAGAACGGCCACGTGAGAACAGCCACACGAGCGTCGGCGAGGCCAGAGCAACCGGGACCTCACACCCTGCGGCGGGGACACAGAGCTGGCGCCTTCCACACTGGAAAACGGGTTGGCAGAATCTTTACAAGTCAAACAAGCACCGCATGACCTGAATTCCAGAGCCAGGTGCCTGCCCAGGAGAGTGAAAACATGTCCACGCAAAGACTCACACGCAGATGTTCACGGCAGCGTCACTCAAAACAGTCAGATTCTGGACATCACACAAATGTGCGTCGGCAGGTGAACGACAAACACGAGGGGACAGGTCCAGACAGAATGCTGCCCGGCGCACCGAGGGACCCGGCCGGCCAGGCCTGCGCACCCCGGGGCGCCGCCCTGTGCAGCCCTCCTGCACCCTTTAGACGTCACTTCCACGCAGCAGGGACAAAGCTCACAGTAACTGTGCCGCGCCAAGCGAGAGGAGAGCGTCTGACCCCCTCTGTGCGAGACTCCAGGAAACAGCCTAACCTGGAGGTGACGGTGGCCCCGGGTGGCCCCGGCTGCCCCGGGCTGGGAGGGATTGTCGAGGCTCTGGGGAGCCTGGGTGGCCGGACCGGACCCGGACTGGACCGTGTCTCAACGTGTCATCATGTATGTGAACTCATCAAATGACACTCCTTAGACAGGAACGGTCTGTTGTATGTAAACTATACCTCAATAAAGTTGATTAGAAATTTATTTTTGGAAAAACATTCTTGCTCAGCTATAATCTTGTGTTCATCAATCCAATCGCCATTTGCTGTCCCAAGTTCACACGTTGGACTCCCCGCCTTCGGCACTTGAGAATGTGACCTCGTTGGGAAGTAGGTCATTGCAGATGTATTTAGTTACATTAAGATGAGGCCACTGGGTGGACTCCTAATCTGAGATGATGGGTGCCCTTATAGGAAGGGGACATTCGGGCTGGACACAGTGGCTCCCACCTGGCATCCCAGCATTTTGGGAAGCGAAAGCGGGAGAAGCCCTTGAGGCCAGGAGTTCCAGACCAGCCTGGGCAACATAGCAAGATCCCAACTCTACAAAATAAAATAAAATACCCAGGCATGGTGGTGAACGCCTGTTGTTCCAGCAACTCAGGAGGCCGAGGTGGGAGGATCACTGGAGCCCAGCGATGCAAGGTCACAGCGAGCTGTGATCACACCACTGCACTCCAGACCCTGTCTCTAAAAAATAAATGAATAAATAAAAAGGGGAAATCTGGATATAGACACAGGGAGAACACCAGCTGCAGACTAGAGTGAGCCAAGGACCTCCCGGAAGGCAGAGAGGGGCCTGGAGCAGCCGGTCCCAGCGCCCTCCACGGAGCCGGGGCTGCCGGCCTCTGGGTCTGAGGGAATGAATGTCCCTTAGACCTTCAGTGTTCAATGCTCCCGCACAGCAGCCTGGGACCCTGACACACGCCCTCGCGGACACGCAGCGCTGCGCCGCAGAAGCCAACAGACCACCTGCCAAGGACATGCCAGTGTGTTGGGGGCAGCTGCTCGTTCTCTCCAAGAAGGACCCCCACCGGCTACGCGGCGTCGCCCCACACCTGAGGGTGCGGACGGCCGACTGTCTTCTGAAAAAGCCGAGGTTAAGACGTGAACGAGGAGAAATCATCGTCCAACTTGAATTTTGTGAACATCACGTCATCAGTGTCATGGCTGCATTTTAAATTTAGAAATGAGCTCTGGAAAGAAACACTCCAAGAAACGTTGACATATCCTCAGTGAGACGGGGGTATCGCCTGAGTTTTCCTGTGAGCAGAAACGGGCTCTGGGGATGGGGCTTTAGCTTTTCCCCACTGCAGCCGCGTGGCCTAAAACACAGACCTCTGGGTGACGCCCCTCTCGGCCCCACCGCAGTCTGCGGCCCGGCCCAGCCCGGCCCCTTCTTGGTTCTCTCACCCCCATCCCGGCTTCGAGGAGGAACCTGCCAGAGCCCACTTCCCTCTGTCGGGGGCACCGCTGCCCAGACGCCTCTCCCGCCCCTCCCTGCCCTGTGTTCTCAGGAGGACAGTGTGGGCAGCAGGAGCCCAGAGACCACCCCCACCTGCCAAGACAGGCCAGGAGGGACACACGGGTCACAGCTGACCTCAGAAGGCCCCAAGGAGCACGGCCCGGGATTCACAGCCCCGAGCGGCCCTCCCACCTGGCCAAGCCCTGGCCCGAGCCTCCGGCCAGCTGGAGAGCTGGGCAGTGTGGAGAGAGAAAGCCCGGGACCCCACATCCCAGCTGAGCCCAGCCTCCCCACTGAGCCCCAAAGGTGCAGGGAGTCTGAGGACTGCAGCCGTCTGACATGACTTGGGGCAGAAGATCCCCCCAGCGGAGGCCGGGCAGCCCAGAACCTGGCAGAGTCACGGTGGCTGCTCCGAGCCGTAGGACGGCTGGGTCACAGCCAGACAGAACGGAGGCAGCAAGAGCAGCTCTTTGGAGGCCGGTCTGGCAGGAGGGTGAGCAGGAAGTGGTGAGAGCGGGCGGCGGAGACCCTGGGGACGGGAGCCGCGGGGGAGGAAGGGCCAGAGGGTGAGATGGCGGGGGCCGCACCTCAGACCCCCCTCCAGCCCTGCCGGCAGAGGGGCTGCCGGGCCTCAGAGTGGTTGAGGCACAGCCACTGCGATGGGGAACCGGAAGGAAGCCACCGTGCCAGGGGGACGCAGGCCACGTGGGCAGCCACCGGCGGGGGGTCCCGGCCACCCTCCTTCAGGCTCTGGCGTAGGCGAGAGGGACCCAGGACCCTGGGGACAAGGCCTCAGAGAAGGATCAGCCCAGAAAGACGGCCGGGAAAACCTCCCCGAGGCGGCGGCCAGCAAGGCCAGACGGGGCCAGTGCCCCAGAAACTTCCAGCTTCTTCCTCTGGCTGCTGGGAAGTCAGTTTAGGGGAATTTCCTTGTTTTGTGGGGTGGGAGAAAGAAAGGGGAAGAGGCCGCTCTTTATGCCGTGCCTCCTTCCAGGCTGGAGTCTGGCTTCTAGATCTTTCTTTCATCTTTAAGTCACACGATTTTAATGGGCAGCTAAACTCCTATTAGCTAGTTTAGGTTACGGATGAGCATCTAGCAATACACGTGAACAGGTCATATCTGCACAGGCAGATTCTGCCATGGATTACACCAGGGACACGGAGGCCCTCCCAGCTGCCAACACTGCCGCCTCCTTCAGGAAGCCCTCCAGGGTGCCCTGGAGGAAGAGTCCCTCTGTCCTTACACTGACAACACACACCCTCGCTGGGCCTGGGAGCCCGTCAGCCAGGGACCACGTCTGGATGCTGGACAGGCTCAACACCTACACTTAACCCTTTTCACATTAAACCTACAATACTGAAATCTTACATTTTAACTCAAGAAATATTTCAAAAGTGTCTCACATTAAGTGCTGACAGATGGTAAAATAAACAGTAAGGCAGACGGCAAACCCCGACCCTGGGCAGTGGACCGGGAGGCGGACAGTGTGAGGCCACCGGGTGTGGTCAGGGTCCGGTGGAGCAGCCACAACTGGCGTCAAGGCGCAGAGCGACCGCTGCTATGTGTGAACTGTGTCCCCAAGAGGTGTCTTGATGCCCCAACTGCAGGACCTGGGAACACGACCTTATTTGGAAATAAGGTCTTAGCAGATTTCACCCAAGTTAAGATGAGGTCAACAGGGTGGGTCCTACCCCACCAACAACCAGCGTCCTTATAAAACGGGGAAATCATGGCCAGGCGCAGTGGTGCACACCTGTAGTCCCAGCACCCTGGGAGGCTGAGGCGGGAGGATCGCTTGAGCCCAGAAGTTCAAGGCTGCAGTGAGCTGTGATGACGCCACTGCACTCCAGCCTGGGCCACAGAGCAAGACCTGTCTCTGAAAAAGGCGGGGGGGAGGGGGCCAGATCTGGACACAGAGACGCACAGAAAAAAGACAGTATGAAGACGGAGGGAGAGACGGCCACACGACCACAGGCAGAGATTGCCGGAGCCCCAGGAGCCGGGAGACGAGAGGAAGGACCATCCCCTGGGGCCCCCGAGGAAGCACAGCCGCCCACACCTTGATCTCAGACTTCCGGCCTCCACGGCTGGGAGAGGACAAACTCCTGCTGTCTAAGCTGCCCAGACTGCAGACCTTGTTACAGCAGCCCCGGGAAACGAGCCACACACCAACTTCTCAAAAATTGTAATTTTCTTAGAAAGAAAGCTGATCAGCTGAACAGAGCAAGAAAACTTCGTCTATAGATTTTACTACAAATCTGAGATACGCTGCGACTTCAAATGCAACTTTAAACACTTGAGCTCCCTGCCGCCCAGAAAAGAACAGAACCCCCGTAAGAAAGTTGTGATTCCTGCTTACAATAAAGGCGACACTCGGGGAACAGGATGGGATCTTCTCTTCTTAACTTTTTATCTGGAAACCTTCCAAATTACGGAAAAGTTGTTAGAATAACTTCCCCACGCTCCTTACCCACTTACACTATTTTTTAACATTTTGCCACATTTGTTTCTATCAAACGAAACGACGGAATCCCAGTTACTTTTCTCTTAAAAGTACTTAGAAGTGCCACTTGAAGACGAGGACAGCGCCCGTCTGCGGGAGGCCTGTGTGAGTGGCTGGCATCACGGCCGACCGGCGCTGTTTCCGCGTCCCACGTGCCCGCGGGGCAGCCCTGCAGAGCGGCGCTCCCCGGACGCTGAATGAACGAACAGCTGTCGTGAGCAGTAAAACCACAAGAGTGGCGCACGGTGACATCACATGGACACGGCGAGTTGTCACCGCTCGGCTTCCTTTGACCCGTCCTCAGTTCCCACAATGCACGTGGGCATCAACACCACAGGCTGACGAGGACGCGGGGCCTCGGCGATGGACCGGCCAGGGGTCCCTCGTCCCCCGTAGTGGCCACTTGCGCCGTCCTTCTGCCGCCCCTGCCCGTGGGGGCCGAGTGCAGCCCAAGGCAGGGACCGAGGGGCAGAGCACCTGACTTCAGGGTGGCCGGGACAGGCCTGGCTGTCGGGGGGGGAAGGGCTGGCTGGGCCGGCAGGGAGAGGGGGCTCCTCCTCCCTGGGCGGGGCCTGGGCTCCGGGCTCCAGGGCAGGGCCACCCTTCCCACCTCCCAGGGACAGGTTCCAAGGGCCCTTTCAGACACAAAACTCCGTGAGTCCAGGGGAAGAGCTGGAACCAGCCGACCAAGCGTCAGGGGACACACAGGGAAGAGTGCTCGGCTCGAGCCTTGGGGGGCCGCGGGGGGGTCGAGGGGCTCTCCAGGTCTGCCTCACCAGGCGGCCACAGCGCACCGGAGGACGTCGAGGGGGGTTTGACTGAAACAGGCATCAAAACGCAGGCTCGGCCGGGGCACAGGGAGCCACCACCCCCCATACCCAAGCTTCGGAACTGGGTTGTGGGGTCCAGCAAACACTCCACGCAGCCCTCTGTTAGGATTGGGAGCAACAGGGCCCCCCACAGGGCCTGGGCCTCGCCTTCTCGCCCTCCCTCAGCAAACCTACCCGGCCAGATGGGGTGGAAAGGACGGGGCGGGGGGGGCGGTGCCCGAGGCCAAGGGGTGCACGGCGTGGTCTTGGCCAGCAGGTGCCGGGCAAACCCCATCTCCTCTCTTCTTTTAAAGTCAAAGTCAATCCCGTGACTACCAGCTTGGCTTAACTTCATGTGCAAACTTCAAAGGTTTGGCCAGGCGTGCTGGCGCACGCCTGCAGTCCCAGCTACTCAGGAGGCCCAGGCATGAGGATCCATTGAGCCCAGGACTTTGAGACCAACCTGGGCAGCATAGTGAGACCCCATCTCACACACACAAAAAATGTAAAGGTTTCTGGGCAGAGCCTAAAAGAAACCAAGTGAAATGTACTGACCCTGGGAAAAGATTTCAAAGAAAAATATAGGAAGCTGGCAAGAGTGAACATACAGTCATAAATCCCTAAAGACGGCCGGGGTGCGGGAGGCTCCGAGCCTGCAGTGTAGAACGATATACAGGTGTGTTCACATCTTCGACCCACTAATTACACTGCAGAGACTCTACCTCAAGGAAATAACCCAGAAAGTTAAATTGCTCTGAGATGTTCCCAGCATTCTACGGATATGAGAAACAACCCAGACACCCGACAACCGGAAAACGGCTGAGAAAACTGTGAAGTATTAAAACTGAACAAAACCAGCTGGAGGAGCATTAAAAATGTCGTTTATGTGGGTACTTAGAAGTTGATAGAAATGAGAACAAAAACATGGCCCCCGATGTCGCGTCGTGTGTGGCTGTACTCGCTGACCAGACTCTCGGCTCTTTGCTCAGACTCCTCTTTCCCTCACAAGCCAAGTTCCTTATTTATATATATTTTCTTCTGAGGCCTTGCTCTATGGCCCAGGCCGGAGTGCAGTGATGTCATCACAGCTCGCTGCAGCCTCAAATTCCTGAGCTCAGCGTCCTCCTGCTTCGGCCTCCTGAGTAGCTGGGACTATGGGGTGAGCCACAGCGCCCGGCCGAAGTTCCTTATTTCTAAAACCCAAACGTGAAAGGTGCACCCACCCACCGCTTGCACTGGGCAGGCTAACGCCATGGGAAATGAACATCTGGGATGTTAAACCCGGCATGAAGATGAGAAAAATCCGTATTTACCCAGGAGCTCGCGCAGTCCAAGTTGGAAAATACCACGGTGGAGTTTGTGCTCATACTTGGGCTGCTTTGACTTTTCGCAAACTGTCCTAACGGGAAAGCCAGGGGTCTGCCTCTTGGGGCCCCAGAGCCCCACGGGCAGGGCAAGACCCCCACAGCTCACGGGGGCTCGGGGCCACCGGGGTGAAGACCCTAGAATCTTGGAACTGCCATGGGGCGGGGTCTCCCCCAAGGAGAGGAGACCAGAGACCTTCCCTGCCCACCTCTCACAGAGAAGCCGCCAAGTCTGAGGCCTGACCGACTCCCACTTTGAAGAGCAGAAGGAAATGCCTCCGCAGGGCAGTGGGCGGCCCTGGCAGGACACAGTCGCCACTTTCTCTGTGTTTCCAGGGAGCCCACTGTGCCCACGGCCACGGCAGACACAGAGCCGGGAAACCTCAGGCAGGGCACAGAGGTGGCGGCACGGTTACACCGGGACCGGCTGTTCCCCGCACTCCTCACGCCATCGCTGGCTGTGACCCTAACCCCGGACGCGCAGAGCTCTGCACGAGTAGCGCCAGTCTGCGGCGCGCACTACGTGAGCTCTGCCCTGCAGAGAAGACGGAGTCTGGCCACAGGCAGGGACTCAGGACATACATGGGGGTAGACGCACGGCACACACAAACCCTTCCTCCCCAGCCCCACCAAAAGCCCCGTGCTCTTTTGATGAGACAGAAATTCTAGAATCAAACCCCACCTCGCGAAGTGGCGCATCTCTTCCATCAACTCCCACTTTTCTAGAGCAACCAGCGAGCACGTTTGCAGACCCGGCGTTTGCTAATGGTGAAAATGATTTACCTGGAAATAAAGCAACCAAAGTGAAAACCGCTCTGGACTCCAAACTGCGACGCATGCACGGAAACATTCAGAAGAAACGATCCTGCGAACACCAAAATAAGGTTTTAGCAGCGACCCACTAAAGTGCAATCTTCCTGTAATAAAACCTTTCACTAATAGAAAGCTCCAAATTCTGGCAAAATTACACATCCACTTTTCCTACGTAAAAAAAGGAAGCAAAAGTAAATTATTCAAACTAAGAGAATTACGGTTTAAAAAATTCCATGAGATGTTCCTACACTTTATTAACCAATGGAAAATTTAGAATTTTTAAAATAAAACTTAAATAGGTGATAAGTGTTTTGAAAAATCCACGCAAAGTCTCCTTAACGAAAGGTACACACATCTTTAAAAGCAGGCGCCAAAATATAGAAACTATTAGTGCTTTAAAATATGTCAAACGGGATTTCCAACGTAAACGTCACTGCTACGCATCAGAGTAACCGCAGCCCGGCACCTGTCTCCAGCCAGGTGTGTCTCAGCTCACTGCCTCCGTCTGGTGCTGCCGACACTGGCGCCCTCACTCCAGGTCACCAGGGTGCAACCAGCCCGACCACCACGCAGGAAATTCAACAGAACCAACAACTCTGATTCTTCAACAAATAAACAGCATAAAACAAAGAGGGAACTTGCACAAAATAAACAAAATTTCAGGGGCACCACCCCCCACGTGCAGCATGTAGGCCTCACCCTAACGCAGATTCAAACAAACCAAGACTAAAAATGTGCAGGACAGCGTCTGGGACCCCCAAGCCCAACCTGGCATCAGTGACGCTAATCGTGTATGTCAGCCACACACAGTAAAGTTCTGGACTGTAAAATTAAATGCCTGAGATTTGCTTTAAAATACTTGAGAGAGGCCAGGTGCAGTGGCTGAGGCCTGTAATCCCAGCACTCTGGGAGGCTGGGAGTTCAAGACCAGCCTGAGCAAGAGCAAGACCCCATCTCTACTAAAAATAGAAAAAAATTGGCCAGGCCTGGTGGCGCATACCTGTAGTCCCAGCTACTCGGGAGGCTGAGGCAGGAGGATCGCTCGAGCCCAGGGGTTTGAGGTCACAGTGAGCTGGGCTGATGCCACAACACTCCAACCTGGGCAACAGAGCGAGACTGTGTCTCCAAAAAAAAATAAAATAAAATACTTAAGAGAAAAAAATGAGGAAGATGAGAAAGACAAAAAGAACAGAAAACTGGGAATTATCACAGCTGGGCAACGGGGACATTTTCTCTGATTTTGTTTATGTTCAATAACTTCCAAAATGAGTTTTTAAAAACATAATTAGGTTATAAAAGAATAACATAACTTTCACAAAATTGGGAAAATATGTAATCAAGCGATGCCAATAGTGTAAAAGAGACTCTAATCTGGTTTCGGT